GCTCCTTGGGGCAGCAGCTCCCACTACCAGTGCCCTGCTTTCTGGTAGTCTCATGTCCCACCTCCCCTCGGCACCTTAGTTTATTAAATAGCCTCCCCTGCTTTTGACACATTATTGCTGTGTGGTTCCTCATTAACACTGAATGGCACTTAGATGAAAATGATGCTTTAGTATAATTAAAAAATGATGAGTGTGCTGGGATGAACATCGCTTGAATCAGTAACACTCCACAGAGCACAGAAGGAGATACTGTCATATTTTAACACAGGGATGTTTAAAAAAAAATAGGTACAGGATAAAAGATGTAACTAACCCCCATTAAGATCACCTAGAAGAAAAACAGAATCCTTTTGCACTCTCTTCACCTAGAAGAAAAAACAGAATCCTTTTGCACTCTCTTCACACACCGACACAGTTTCTGAGAAACAGACATAACTTTTCAAGCTTTGTTGATCAGCTGTTGAAAGACATCCTGTCCCTGCCTAACCACTAATCTGAGATCTCATAGCAACATGCAGAGCCTGACAACCTAAAATAGTCATGCCCACAGCAATCTTTTCACTTCTTATCACCCCAGTGAAAGCATGTTCAGGAAAGGGTTCTCTCACCCAACAGCTGTTCCTTCTCAGAGCAATGAGCAAAGATGAGGCTGACTTTGGGGGCTGGGGGAGAGGGGTAACCACTCCCAGCTCTCAGGTCAGCAGCTATTTCTGTAGCTCTGTTGGTCCAGGAGTTTGCTGGAATCCTGGCGGTTCTGTTTTCATGGGAGGTGTTTTTGTCAATCTTCATTGCCAGTTAAATCAGTATGGCAGAATGGTGAGCTTGGAGAGAGGAGAATTGATGAGGTGACCTTGGGCATGTCTCAACTTTCTCCCACCCCCAATCTCGCCACATTTCCTTGTGTCCCCACCTCTTGGCATAATGCCTAGCACATAGCAAGTGCTCATTGACTGACAATATCCCTTGTTCCTCAGACTCCTTCAGTGTCATCAAAGTCTTGTTACTAATTCCTTTTTATTCCTAAGTTCTAGATGATAGTTCTAGAGCGGGATGGCCTCCAGACTATCTAATACAGCCTCTTTGGGGGAGGGGTTTAGATGGCATCTAGATTCTCTTTCAGCTCTAGGTCTATGATTCTCTCATTTTATAGATGAGGAACCTGAGGCCCAGGGAAGTGCAGGGACTTGTCCAAGGTCACACAGGTAGTGCCAGACATAGGATTTGAACTCAGGGCTTCAAACTCTAGATCCATTTCTCTTTCCACTGTCTAACTCCACCTTCCCATTTAAGAGGTTGTTGTTAAGCGGTTCAGGGCCAGAGTCAACGTGAGCTATTATTCTCCTGCCTTCCGCCCTTTTTCTTGCCATTATTTGAGTTTCCTTAATTTTCCTCTAATAATTACACTTTGGAGATAAGACACTGAAGGACAGGAAACATTACGGAGACTTTGAATGAAACCAGGTAGTCTTTTTTTTTTTTTTAATTCTGCCATGAAATCTTAAAGCTGGAAAGGACATTACAGGTAACCTAATCCAACCTCCTCATTCTCATTTAGTCTAAGCTAGTGATTTTGCTCAAGCAAATGAGATTTTCCTTGACCAAATCCAAAGTATTTTTGCTTCAATAATATGATTTCTATTCCCAGTGGCTATGTGATCATCTATTCTTTAGCAGCTAGAGAAGGAACGGTGAAATTCTCCATCTGGCTTTGCCTGGTAATGGGGTGTAGGATTTGTACATCAATATTTCGAAAATCTGCCACTCCTTTCCCCTAAAAAAGTAGATCAAAACTTGCTTCCACCTTCTTCGAAGGTCTTTATGAGATACTATGGATCAGGCCCTTTGGGTATTGGAATAGACAAAATTTCCCATTAGAGGAAGAATGAGTATTTCATCTCCAGACGCCATGCCTTTGTATAGGACTGGAATGCCTTCCCTCCTCAGCGCCAACTCCTGGAATCCCTAGCTTTTTTCAAGGCTTTCCTCAAGTGCCACCCCTTCATTCCTGACTCTCTGAATTATTTGGCTTCCCTTTGTACTTACTTTGATTATATTCCATATATCAATGTACGTATTACATTTCCCACTTCCTGCCCCTCAAGTGGGATATAAGCTGGCATAGGGGATATTGATAATAGATAGCACTTATATAGCACTTTAAGGTTTGCAAAATGCTTTAAAAATATCTCGTTTATCCTCACAACAACCACGAGAGATGTGGCCCAGGGCAAGTAATTTTATTTTTCTGGGCCTTAGTTTCCTCATCTGGGAAATAGAGGGGTTGGGACTAGATGATATCTGATATCTCTTCTGGATTTAAATCTATGGTTCTATAAACCCCAACTTTGCTCCTCATTCTCTGTGTGACCTTGGGTAAATCTCTTCACTTCTCTGGAACTTGCTGTATTGTGGAAGAAGGAGTTAAAAACTTCAACCAAAAATATTGATTGTTAAGGAAACTTCCAGAAGACAGAAGGAAGGGGAGGGGTTAAAAAATTTATGAACAGCAACAAGATTTGGTGATATTCCAAAAGGAATATTGGAAGGGAGGAGGGAGTTGAAAGAGAAATAAAATATAATAAACTATACAAGATCACAGCCTAGCAGATGGCCTCATCCACTTTTGTAAAAATCTGTTTGGTGTCCTTAGATTACAGGTGCCAGTCACTCTGTAAAAAAGATTACCTCACTCCTGTTTTCTTGGATCAAATAGACTTCTTAAACTGTTGTGTCTATATCCTCTTCTTTAATTCCCTTGTACAGGGATTGCTTTCCCACACGATAACAAATCCTACCAGCTACATGGCAAATGTTCCCCCCTCACCACCGTATCTCCCTTCTCCCCATTTGGTTACATGTTCCTGTATTCTTTCCTCTCCTTTGAAAGGTCTTACTTATCTGGCCTAAATTGCTGCAGAATACTGCCTAATGTCTCTGTAATCTTTGTAGGGGGAGCTGGACATCAAGGCACCAGCCCTACCCAAAGCAACACTAATCCTTGGTTCAGGGAGTCATTTTCCACCTTGTGGCTCCTTAAACTAGCTGCTAGCTTATCATATATTCACTAATTTCTTTACAGATAGATAATGGGTTCACTTTTTTTTTACCTAGGTCAGAGGGGTCAAATTCTTGTCTGTGTACCCCAAGCCAAATTAAAACATAATTGAGAAATGTTTAGCAAAATAAGTAAAAATACAATACAATATGTTGTTGTTCAGTTGTTTCAGTTGTGTCTGACCCTTCATAACCCCGTTTGGGGTTTTGTTGGCAAAGATACTGGAGTGATTTGCCATTTCTTTCTCTAGCTCATTCTGCAGATGAGGAAACTGAGGCAAACAGGGTTAAGTGACTTGCCCAGGATCACACAGCTAGGAAGTATCTGAGGCTGGATTTGAACTCAAGAAGATGAGTTTTCCTAATTTCAAGCCCAGTGCTCTATCCATTGCGCCATCTACCTGCCCACAATACAACATAGACAATGCCAATGTGTTTTTCTAAATCAACGTGGAGCCCTCAGGAATTCCTTTCTACCTGAGCTTGACACCACTGACCAGAGTATGGAATCTGAACAGCTTTGAAAAGATTGTAAGGTCATGGGATACAGAGCTTGAAGCAACCACGGAGTCATTTAGTCTAACCTCCTCATTTTATAGTTGGGTAAACTGAGGCACATAGAGATGAAGTACATTGCCCAAAGTTAGATAGCAGAACCAGAATCCAAGCTGTGGTCATAGATATAGAGCAGGAAGGGATCCCAGAGACCATCTAGCCAACTCCTTTATTTTTCAGATGAGGAAACTGAAGCCCAGAGAAGCCAGGTAACTTGTTTTAAGGTCACACAGAAAGTCAGTGGCAGGGCCAGAATTTGAACCCAGATCTTCTTACTCTAATTCGTGTACTCTTGACATTGAATTACATCATCTCTCCAACATCATGGACCATGGAGTACAATTTGATTGGAATAAAGAGGATGATACTCATCCTCTTGGCTAATATCTGGGATAGAGGGAGGGAGGGAAGATGGAAGGAAGGAAGGAGGGAAGGAAGTAAGGAAGGGAGGGATGGAAAGGAAAGGAAAGAAAGGGAAAATTCAATATTTAGTATTCAACAATATTTTTATTGATAGTTATGACTTAATTATGAATGCCAATATATTACTATGTTACATTAATTTAACAGTAACTTAACTTTTTGATATTTATCCTCCTGATCACCCTGGGTACGATTATTATCCCCATATTATCACCCACCCCCTATTTTACAGATGAGGGAGCTGAGGCAGACAAAGGTCAAGTCACTCGCCCAAGGTCGCCCAGCTACTGAGGCCTTCCTGACTCCAAGCCCAGCACTCAATCCACTGTGCCACCCAGCAATTGCCTTACATCTTCCTCCTCCATTTTCTTCTTTTCCTTCTTTGTTCAATCATCTTTTCATATACCAGAAGGCAGAGGCCATACTATTGGGCATTTAATGTCCTTCACAGTCTGGCTCCAACCTTCATATTCTAGGCTTATTTCACATTACTCCCCCTACACTCTAGATTTAACCAAACTGTTCAACTTACCTCCTATTTCCAAACTTTTGCGTGATCTGTCCCCCAGACCTAGAAAACTCTCCCTCTTCACCTTGACCTGTAAGAAGCCTATGACTCGTTCAAGGCTAAGCTCATGTCATCTTCTAGCAGAGGCCTTTCCTGGCTCTGCCCATTGTCCATGCTCCCCCACCCCTGAATTATTTTGCATTTTTAACATATCTGTGTATGTGCTGCTTCCCCCTGCCCCCACTCCCCCCAGTAGAATGTAAACTCCTTGAAGGCAGGAACTGTTTCATTTTTATCTTTTTAACTCTGTTGCTTGGTATAGTACCTGTGATTGTGTGACATGGAAGACACTGGCACAGGACCACCCAGTATGGCGTGCCCTCATCAGAGAAGGTGCTGTGCTCTATGAGCCAAAAGAAATGCAGGACGCACAAATTTAGAGAATCCACCCCAAATGATCACGTGGACTATTTGTGCCCAATCTGCGGTAGAGCATTCTGAGCTTGTATTGGTCTGCTTAGTCATAGATGGACACACTGTAGCTTGACTCTATCATAGGGATGCCATTTTGATTCTCTTTGAGAACAAAGGATACCAACCATTAACCAGTCATGCAGTGGGTGTTTACTCAATGCTTTTTGAATGAATGAATGATATGTTTGGCATGGGGGAGAGGGGCTAAGAGAATGTCCTCATCTTCCTCTTTTTCTTCCTCCATTTCTTCTTTCTTTTCCTTTGTTCTCTCTGTATGACTTCCTCTGTCACCTAGAAGGTTACTTACAAAGTCCCGCCTTTGGTTCTGATTTCCTGAGATTGTTTCATCTAAAATGGGACATTTGGCAATGAGACCCAATATCTTCTTTTTTTTTCTCTCAGTGTTTTGTTGTTGTTTATTCGTTTCCCTCGGCTGCATTGATCTGTGAATGCTGCTGGATAATGTGTGGAACAAATGCATTTCCTACACAAATACACAAAATAGAGTAACTCAGTTACCTTCCTAGTAGGGAGCCTGGAACAAGTGACCCCTTTGTAATACCAGCTGACCTGGGTTTAATACAGTGCTTGCATCAGCCATGTTGGAAAGTGACCCTTCGGATCCACCACAGCTCCAACTAATTGAATGCCTCTCTCCACAGCACAGCTCACAGTCAGGAGACCCTTTGTGAACAATTCACTGCATTCTTATTTAAGGAATATCTTAGGGTTCACTGTCTTCCTTGATGCTTCAGCTCCCTTTCCACGTGAATTGCATCTGTCCTTAGCCATGGGATCTCAGCAACTGTTTGGAAGGTTCTGTCAGATACCACTGCTGGTAATTAGTCTCAGTTTGGTGGAAATAGCCAAGGAGGGGTGGTGCATTATTCCCACAGGCTCATGGAAATCTATAATAAGGCTATTCATTGAACTAAACTTGCCAATCGTATCTAGGTGTTCTAGTTAGAGTGCAGTGGGGAAATAATAAAAAAGTAAAGTGGGATGTGATAAAAACAAACAAATACAATTTGTGAATAAATTTAATAAACAAATAAATAAACTGAGGTGGGTAAAAGGGGAAGAAAAGCAAGAAGAAGAAAAAACCTGTAACAACCAACCTCTGTGTAACTTGTATATTATGAAAGAGCCTCAAACCTTGCTTAGTCTTACAAGAGTCTTCAAGCAAGCAACAGGCAGCAGATATACGCAACAGGGGCATCCCAATGAAATAGCAGGGAAATTTTGAAATGTATTATAACAAGGACTGTCCACTGGTGCAGACAAAGAGCTTATCTTTCAGCCATGTGGGAGCCCTGGGACCTGCTTCCAACCACGGGCTGACCTTGAGCTGGTAAGATTTGGTGTTTTGTTGATGTGGCCAGGGATATGCTGGCAAATGTTTGAAAACCAACTTCTCCCCTGTCAAACGTGGACAGGACACACTTTTAGGCTTAATTTACATTAGTAACATTTTCTCCATTGCTTTCTTAAGTCCAGACAATCAACAAAAAAATAAGTCAAGCTCTGATTTGTATTATTTGCTGATTTCCAAGGCGTAAAAGCTCATGCTGAAAATTGAAGTCATTTTCCTGAGCCAATTAGAGCTGACTCCAGCACACTCCTACATATGGTGAACCTGGAGTGATCCCTTGGTCCTTCCCCCATCCTGCATCAGTGACAGGGGAGCAAGGTGCTACAGTCAGTGAGTTGGTCAACAAACATTTATTAAATGCTTAGAATGTGCCAGGCACTGTGCCGAAGCACCAGGGACACAATGAAAGGCAAAAGACAGCCCCTGTTGTCAAGGAGCTCACATGACGGGGGCAGAGCATGCCAACAACTACGTACATACTCCAAGTCCACCTCCAGTCCTACCCAATCACCCATACCCATACTGCTAGTGTCTTCCCTTCAAGATTGCTTCTTGTGTGCATGGCAGAGGGGTAGAAGGTAGAGGGTACAAGGGTGGCTAGGTGACTCAATGGATACAGCGCTGGGTCTGGAGTCAGGAAGACAAGTTCAAATTCAACCTCAGACACTACCTATGTGACCCTGGGCAAGTCACTTAACCCTGTTTGCCTCAGTTTCCTCATCTGTAAAATGAGCTGGAGAAGGAAATGTCAAACCACCCCAGCATCTCTGCCAAGAAAATCCCAAAGGGGTCACAAAGAATTGGACACAACTGAAATGATTAAACAGTAATAAATGCTAATCCTGGTTTGATATCTATGTCACTATGGGCAAATTCTTGGGTATCTCTGAACTTCAGTTTCCTCATTTGGAAAACATTGATAATCATACCTTTACTCAATTCTGATGGATCACAGCAAGGAGAGTTTATAATAATTAAAGCACTCCAGAAATTTTAATGACCATCATTGTGATTGTTATATCTAGTCATCCTCTGATGAGTTTCTAACTCATGGGTTCTGGTGTTTAGAAGGGACGTCCTTCTCCCCTAGCCTTCCCTTCACACAGGAGCCATCTCCGGTCATCCTGATCCATATCTGGCCACTGGACCCAGATGACTCTGGAGGAGAAGGTGAGGCTGGTGACCTTGCACATCCTTCCCTCACTTAAATCCAATTCACTTGCATGTCATGGCATCACCTCCCTGATGTCATGGTCCTCTTTGAGAACGAAGGACAAAGAAGAACAACAATAGTCCCCCATCCTCATAGATGAGGAAAGAGAAGCCTGGGGACATTAAATAACCTACCCAAGGTCACCCAGCTAGTACATGGCAGACCTAGAAACAGAACCCAGATTCTTTAAGTCTACATTCCTTACTCTTTCTTGTAGGCTAAGCCTGGATACTAGGGTGTGGGTGTAGAGGACAGGATAGGAGACTTGGTATGAGAACACTTAGACTCTCTTTGTTATTAATATTAATTAAGTTTCTAATTTTATTATTAATGTTAATGACATTTAATTTTATTATTAATTTATATCAATAACAATGGAAACTTTGCATTTTCAAAGTATTTTCTATGCATTTTCTCATTTAAGCCTCACAATGACCCTGTAAGGGAAGCCCAGTAGTTATTATCATTCCCATTTTGCAAATGAGGAGGAACCAAGCTCTCAGAGCAGTAAAGTGGTTTTGCTCATGGTCACACACATATTCAAAAATGAGATTTGAACCAAAGACTTCTTGAGGCATTATAATTTAGAGCCAGAAGAAGGTCATGAGATCCTAGACTTAGAGCTGTAAGAGACTTTACAGGCTATTTGCCCAGCTACCCATTTTTACAGATGAGGAAATGGATGCCTAGAGAGGTTAGTTAAGTGATTCGCCCAAGGTCACACAGGTAATAAGGGACCAAACCTGGATTCGAACCTCTGAATCCAAAAACAGCCCTCTTTTTTTTTTTTTAATGTGGCCCCATTCTTTTCTAGAGTTCCTGGAACTTTTTCATACCTGTCCCTGCTCAAGACTTATGCTTCTAAGTGTTTACGAAAACATTAAAGCCACTTGGAATAGCTTCTTATTGTCCAATTCTGAGACTACAGACAAATCTAGGGGTCTTCTGGTCAGTTTGTGTGTGGTGTTTAAAGCAAATCTAAATAAAAATACCCCAGGAAGCCTTTCAAGTCTCCTCCATAAGACTACTTTTAGGAAAAGAATACACGGAAAACAGAAAGGCCCCCGTTGAACTTCCCTCAAAAATCACATGGGGCTTAAAAAACAAAGAGCTCAGCAAAAAATAGAATTTGGAATTTATTAAATGGAAAACATCTATGAAAAGGGTTGGAGACATTGGAGGACCACATCAGGGAGCTGGATTCCACATCTGCATAACAACCTCACCATTTGTATGCAACACACAATTACTGGCTCATTGAGCAGAAATAATTCATCCAAATGACCCATGAGAAGAAGAAAAAGTTGGAGGACCATATACAGTCATCCCATAACCCAGGGTGTTCCCAAGAATAGGCGCCTGGTGGGATTGGGTGGATATATTGCTGGGGGTCAAGTTGTGTTTGTAACCTTGGCAAATGGAGAATTGACTCAAGGTCACCTGTAGTGGGCACTCTAAATGTCAAAGCCAAAATGAAGGTACAGCCCCTCTGGCCTGTTCTCCACTGATCATCTTGATGGAAACTTAGAAAATGAATCTATGGCTCGTGTTGCACGTTTCCCTGTGAAACTTGGACACAAGGACAAGTTTAGGCAAAGCTAAGCCAAGATGGGTTAAGAAGACAAAGTTTGTCCTTAGCAAACCCCAAATCTCCTATAAGGGTTGTAAAGAAGTATCTGTCAGTCAATAAGCATTTCAAAAGTATCCACTATGTACCAGGTGTTGTGTTGAGCACTGAGGATATAAAAAAAGGCAAAAGACAGTCCCTGCCCTCAAGGAGCTTACAGTCTAATGGGGGAGATGACTATGTACCCACATACTATATAATCAATAGAGGGAAAGCAGTAGAAATAAGGGAGATTGGGAAAGATTTCCTTGAAGAAGCTGGGATTTTAAATATATACCTCAGGCAGGAAAGGAGTAATACTCAGAGATGAAGCCCAGATAAACTTCAAAAAAGAATTTCTTGCTTCCTGTTTCAGCACTTTATTTTTTCTTTGTATTAAAAGAAAGGATACTCGTTTTTACATCTATGTAACCATCTACATATGTGTACAATACATTTATGTATTATGTTCTGCTTGCTGTTTAGTCATGTCCAACTCTTTGCGACCCCATTTGTAGTTTTCTTGGCAAAGATACTGGAGTGGCTCATTTACAGATAAATAAACTGAGTCAAACAGGATTAAGTGATTTACCTACACAGCTAGTAAATGTCTGAGGCCAGATTTGAACTCAGAAAGATGAGTCTTCCTATCTCTAGGTCTGGCACTCTACCCACTGTACCACCTAGCTGTCCCCTCACCCCCGGCATATATTTCCCAATATATTCCTTTCTTCCTCCACCATGAGAGTCATCCCTTACACCAAAACCTAAAAACAACCAGTCCCATGAATCTAACCACCATACCAACACACTTGATAACATAGCCAGCATTCTGTACCTGTCCTCCTTCTGCTCTTGAAAGAATGGGAGGGATGTACATCATTATACCTCATATTTGGGGCTGAGCTCAGGAATTATCATTACAAAGCATTGTTTCTGTTTTTATTGTTGACATTGGTTTTTTCCATTTATATTGCTGTTGTTATTGTTTACATTGCTTTTCTCCTTCTGCATGCTTCACTTTGCATCATTTCTTATAAGTCATCTCCTGCCTCTCTGAAGCCTTCTTATTCTCTGCTTCTTATGGTACAGTGATTATCCATTGTATTCATGTACCACCATTTATTTAATCATTCTTTCTTTCTTTCTTTTTAAACAACCATTAATTAAGTACCTAGAGCAAAGTGCTTTACAATTATGATCTGATTTGATCCTTGCAACAATGCTGGGAGGTAAGTGCTAGTATTACCCCCATTTTACAGATGAGGAAACTGAGGCAGATGTTAATATAGACCAGCACTGGATCTGCAATTTAAAGCGTTTAGGGCACTGAGGGATGAAGTTACATACCCAAGGTCACACAGTCAGTATACATGGGGTTCGAGGGGAGGGAGGATAGAATCTGTTTCATTCTGACTTCAAGGTCATACTTTGCTCCATTTCAGTTTAATAGCACTAATTCTGGGTTAAGGTGTGGTGCTGAATATCTATTTCACATTTACTTTAAAAAAAATCCTTAGTCCTGGCTTTGCCATAAGCTAATTGTGTGACCTTGGATAAACTACTTACCTTTTCTGCACTATGGAGTCCTCATCTGTGGGAGGAAAAAATATGGAGCTGGATTAGAGAATGTCTAAGGGCCGTTCGAGCTTTGACACGGTCATAGGATCAAAGTTTTAGAGCTCAAAGGGATCTTAGAAACCATTAAATCTAATCTCTTATTTCACAGGGATGGGGAAATTGAAGCCCAGAGTGTGACTTGCCTAGGGTCACAAAGTTAGTAAGTTTCTAAGGCAATATGTCTCCCAGAGTGAGGTATTTAGAATAGAATTATATAAAATTAGAAGGAACCAATGAGGTCATCTAGTCTAACCCTTTTTTACAGATGGAAAAAAAAAGTAGGCAAAGAGAGGTGAAGTGAACTAAGTCCAGATTTGAATCCAAGTCTTCTAGCTCTAAGACCAGTGCACTATTCATAATACCGCGGTAGCTTCTCTCTTTGAAACCAAAAGGTAGTCTAGCAATATTGAGTGTGGGGATAAGAGGAGGTGAGACCTTCTCTCCTGTTTCCCCATAGGAATCCTAGAGGAAGGGCTCTTTAAAAAAAAATATTTATTTTTAGTTTTCAACAATCGCTTTTATAAGATTTTGAGTTCTAAATTTTCCCTCTGCCTTCCCTCCCCCTTCCCAAAGATGGCATACAATCTGATATAGGACATACATGTACAATCATATTAAACATATTTCCACATTAGTCGTGTTGTGAAAGAGGAATCAGAACAAAAGGGAGAAACCTTGAGAAAGGAAAAAAAAGAAAACATGCTTTGATCTGCATCCAGACTCCATAGTTCTTTCTCTTGATGTGGATAGCATTTTTCATCATGAGTCTTTTGGAATTGTCTTAGATCATTGCATTACTGAGGAGAGCTAAGTCTATCAAAGTTGATCATCACACAATGTTGCCATTACCATGTACAATGTTCTCTTGGTTCTGGTCACTTCACTCAACCTCAGTTCGTGTAAGTTGGAAAGGCTCTTTCTTAGGAAGGAGGAGACTCTCTTCTTTCCAACCATCTTCTCCCTAAGCCTCCAGTTTGGAATACAGGCTACATAAGGAGACATATTGTTAGGGATGGAGAGCATTGGGCAGGGAGAAGGGGTGACAATGAAATATGTTCATTCTGGAATCTCTTTCTGAAGAAGAATGTATATGCTGGGAAACAGAATATTTCTTCCTCACTAACAATGTTATTGGAAGTTTTGATAGGCATAGAGTGGGAGTAGGGGAATGGTGTGAGTGGGTTGAAGGAATGGAGTAGTTCTGGCTATCCATGTAATTTTAACTATTTAAATTGTGGCCCATTGAGTATATCAGTATACAAATCTTAAATAGGCATCTTGATTGAATAAGCAGAATCCAGAAGAGGAGAGTGGATTGCATTGCTTTTAAGAAATTATGCAATGCTTTGATAGTATTAGAGATATTATTTATGCTAGTACTGTATATGGTATATGTGTGTATATATAAATATATATGTGTGTATGTGTGTGTGTGTGTATAATGAATAGTATCATAGATCCAGAGCTGGTAGAGACTTATAAACCACCCAGTGCAACTCCATCTTATAGATAAGGAAACTGAGACCCAGGAAGGTCATGTAACTTGCCCAAGGTCATAAATGTAGAAAGCGTCAAGAGTGGGATTTGAACCCAGGCCCTCTGACTGCTAAGCCATTGAGTACACTTTCCACTGTTTATCATGTTCCCAGACTAATCTCTGATGCAAAATTCCATTTTGTAAAGCCTCAGTGTTCTCTCCACCAAGATTTATGGCCTTATGTAATGGAACAGTATGATCTCTGAAGAATCAAAATGGCAGATAAGCAAAAGGGAGCGTTACGGAGTCAGTGTAAATAGATCTGAGGCATGATTCTGATTTGCATGCAGGAAGTAGCATGATAGATGTCATCAAGGAGTTTTGCAATTGGAAAAGGAGGTGGGCTCATTATTGGTCAAGAGGGAGGGATAAATGGTGACATTCTGACACCCATGAAATGTTAAAAGACCTAGAGAAAGACACCCTGTGCATTGGGCAGATCCACTAGGGAGAATTTGTGAGAGAACAAAGTCAAGGATCATACAGGATCAAAGGTAGAGATAGGGTGTGATGGGCACTGCTGGAAAGAAGAGATTGTCACCCTGGTGAGATCATGGGTCCACTGGCAGATAGAAGAAAGGGATATTTGTCTCCCATTTTTCATCCCTTCTGAGACAGTGATGCTTATTTCACCTCCTTGACTTTAAAACCACAGAAAGTTAGGAAAACTAGCTGGAGATCCAGTTTTATCTCAAGAAAACATACTTAATTAGGAAAACATATTCCTCTTCCCTCCCACACCCTCAACCCTCTCCCTGAGGTCATTTTATATTCAGTAACTCTAGTTGAACGCTGGCATCTTGACAAAAGGGGCCTTTGGTTTGGTTTAAGGGAATGAGACAAAAGCCTAAAATAACACTTTTCCCATGTCCAAATGGGGTGGGTGTATTTCCTCCATTCTAATGCATTTGTTGAGAGCAACACATGGTGTTAATAAAATTTCTCTTCTATGAAATCCAATAAATTTGGATATACAGGATGTCCCCAAAATGTTAGCAAAGTCTTGTGCTGTGATTTTTGGGTCACCCTGTATATATATTGAGTGAGATCTGCAATGTTCTCCAGCAACAGCTGTGGCATCTATGGGAAGATCGTATGCTACAATGGAAATTATGCTAACTTCTGAGTCAGAGGACATGATTTCAGTCATTCAATCGACATGCGCTTATTAAATGCCAGGCACTGCACTAGGCTCTAGAGATGCAAAGATAAAAATGAATGAGTCCCTGCCCTCAGAGAGCTTACATTCTGCCAGGGGAGAGACATGCACATAACTAAGTATATGCAGAAAATACACAACCTAGATGTGAGGCACCTTTGAGAGGGAAGGTTCAAATCCTGGTTCTGCTGCTAAATACCTTTATGACTCTGGGCAGATCACCTTCCTCTCTTGGTCTCTGGCTTCTTCCTCTATTAAAAAACAAACAAACACAAGTATGTGTTTAGTATAACACAGCTCGTAATTGTATGAGGTGGTATTTGATTTCTCTTTCTGAGTTCAAATCTGGTCTTAGATACTTACTAGTTCAGGCACTAATTAACTCTTTGAGAAGTTAAAGAGATGATAATAGGGACCAGACCTGAGATTTCATTGATATAGGGAAATACAAATACAATAGAACATAGATAATGTTAATGTGTGGTTTTCTAAGGCAATATACAGCCTACAGGAATCCTTAAGTATGTATGGATCAGTGGCCCCCTGTCTCTATTTGACTTTGACACCTCCACCTTAGAGCACTGAGAAGGTTAAGTGACTTTCCCTTGCCCAGGATCACTCACCCAAAATGCTTCAGAGGAAACTAAAACAAAAAACATACAAACAAAAACAAGTAGGGACTTTTATGCCCCTGCCTGCTCTAAATCTAAAGTCTATGGGCCTTAGGTCCTGTATCTGTAAAATGAGGAGGTGGGACCAGATGACTTCTGAAATCCTTTCCAGCTTTAAATTGATGTCCCCTTTTCTATATATTCTCTCCTTTCTATTGCCACAGGCACCATCCAAATTCAGTCCTTGATTACCTCTTGCCTGGACCATTGAAATTGACTCCTAATTGGTCTCTCTGTCTCCAGGCTCTCAAAACCATTCCCCTATATCATTATCAAATATATTTGTGTATGTATACATGTATATATATAGGGATGTATATATGTGTGTATACACACGTTGTTGTTGTTCAGTCGTGCCTGATTCTTTGTGACCTGTTTGGGGGTTTTCTTGGTAAAGATACTGGAGTGGTTTGCCAATTCCTTCTGCAGATCACTTTACAGATGAGGAAACTGGGGCAAACAGGATGACGTTACTCGCCCAGAAACACGCAGTTAGTAAGAATCTGAAGTCTTCTTGACTCCAGGTCCTATGCTCTATCCACTGAGCCACCTAGCTGCCCATACAAAAATACATACACACATACAAATTCACACACACACACACACATGTCACCTATGCGTTTATATTGTATAGAATATATGGTATATATACACATGTATGTGTTTACACATACAATGCATGCAATGCAATACACACATGCCTAGAACACACCTGTACACATACCTACATATATGTACACCCACCCAACACATATACACACATGCACATACATTTACAATATACATATACACACACAGATATAAATCCCAGCTCAGATATTTTAACTAGACCCTGGGAAAGTCACTTAACCTCTGATTGCCTCAGTTTCCTCAACCATAGAATTATAAAGTACCTACCTTCCTGGGATTGTTGTGAGGATCAAATGAAATAATTAATATACAGTGTCTGGCACATAGTAGGAAATATATATATGCTAGTTATTATTAATGATTATGAATGACTTTTAACAATAATTTATTATTATTGTTGTTGTTGTTATTCTAGATAGCATAGGACCTGGAGTCAAGAAGACCTGAGTATGTGTATGCATGCAGCCTTGCACATAGTAAGTGCTTAATAATTGCTTATTGGATATAAATTTGAATTGGAAATTCAATTAGTTCAAGCAGGAGTTTGGCTGCGACTTATTTTAGATATGAAAGGGAACCTTATGAAGTTATTCTCTTCCACGTGTCTTGGGTGTCCTCAGAGTCAGAACGACTTGAATTGAAGTCTTTCCTCTGACGCATTTTGGGTGAGTGATCCTGGGCAAGGGAAAGTCACTTAACCTTCTCAGTGCTCTAAGGTGGAGGTGTCAAAGTCAAATAGAGATCAAATATGATCCATACATACTTAAGGATCCCTGTAGGCTGTATATTGCTTTAGAAAACCACACATTAACATTATCTATGTTCTATTGTGTTTGTATTTCCCTATGTCAATGAAATCTCAGGTCTGATCCCTATTATCATCTCTTTAACTTCTCAAAGAGTTAATTAGTGCCTGAACTAGTAAGTATCTAAGACCAGATTTGAACTCAGAAAGAGAAATCAAATACCACCATATACAATTGCAAGCTGTGTTATAGTAAGCAAGTTGCTTACCAGTTAGACATCTAACCTCTCTCTGAGCCTCAGTTTCCACATATATAAAATGAGATGGTTTCTCTGGTCCCTTTTAGATTAAATCTAGATCATAGCCTATTATCTTTTTTTTGGGAAAAAGAAGGGGAAGGAAGAAGCTGGAAGACTGACCAGACATAGAAGCATAACAAAGATCCTTTTTTGAGGGTCATTGAATACTAGGCCTGCTCTCAGTAGAGCAAGGCTAAATTCTCCCTTGATAAGCCTGCTCCTCCAGGCAGAACTCTAATAGATTTCTGAAGAAATCTCAAAGGAGCAGGGGGAGATTTGAATGTGGCATAGTAAAGAAGGGAAGGGGGAAAGGATTGGGGGAAGGGGGATTGTGGGTGGAAGAACAGTTTTTAAAGTTATGTGATTAAAAAAAAGATTTGTCATAATTTTCTTGATGACTTTGAAGAAGCTGGTTAAGAATAGAAAAGTGTGGAGCCATTTGGAATCTGGAAGCTTTCACAGCAGTCACTTCTGTCTTGGTGTGTTGGTTCATACATTACAAAGGGTATTTTGTTAGTAATCTATCGTAGCATTAATGTTACAAATACATGCCCTCTTTTTTTCACTCAGCTTTCCAAAGACCCGAGACAGATGATTTACTCTGCCCGAAGATATTAATACAGAGAACGTAATTACTCCCCAACTTCTGGCTGGTGAGGCTAGATAAAAATAGATATGGATCATACATATTAGAAGCTAATATTAGTAGTGCCCTAAGACGCTCAGGCAGGGATTCTCGTCCCTTGGGAAATTCTGCCTTTCTTAGGAACCAGTTTCCACCCTCCATAATTGTGCCCAGTTTTTATTTCAAGAATAAATTTACATCATTCAGCCTACTCTTCATGAACCTTCTAAATCCCCTCCAAGGGAGCTTAAAAATACAGTGCCCTTGACTTTTTCCCAGTAGTGTTTGAAGACTAAAGCATATTTCAGAGTTAACTCTTCAGACTATGGTGCTTGGTCTATTCAATGTAAGGATAATGAGAATACAGGCTGGCCATGTGAGTTTGTTAGCATAAAAAACTCCCAAATGAGGAAATCATCTCTACAGATGCTGATTATGACCTTGTCTGAAGCTTACAATTTCAGAAAATTGCCTAGGGCACTGAGGAGTTAAGTAACTTGCCCAGAGTCGCAGAGCCAGTAGGATTCAAATTCAGATCTTCTTGGTTCAGAGGTCAGCCCCGTATCCACTGCTTCTCATAAGGATACTGAAAATCCTGGCTCATGTTTCTGCAGTACATGATAGTGATAAGGTAGACTGGTACACGGAAAGAGCACTATGTCTGAAGTCAGAGGACAGAGATTCAGAGCTCCTCCTACCTTGTGTCACTTTGAGCAAATCACTGTACCTCCCAGGGATTCAGTGTTCCCAGTTGTAAAATGAGGGTGTGGTCATAGAAGGCTGATGAGGTTCCTTGAGTGTCTAGTTTTAGTATCTTATTCCCACCCATTTATGAGCACTTTCCTCATGAAAAGGAGGGAGCACAAACTTGATCCTCATTTTATATATGGGGAAACTGAAGGATTGACGTAGCTACAGTCCCACAGTGAGGAGACCAGGTCTTCGGATGCCAATATGAATGCTGTAATAATTGATTTGATGCTTCTGTCAGATCAAAAGGCAGTAGCACGAACACTGGAACTCTGTTCAGTTTACAAAGTAACAGTGATTATTAGTTCTACTGTTTCTGTGTGCCCTCATTCCTACCCCTAGGTACTCCTCTAACCAGAGTCATAATTAAGGAGATGTTAGTGCTTTGGCCCAGGGCACTGGCACTTAAAATAGCCAGACTCAGCTTAGTATCAAATCAGTAAGAATGATAAGTCTAAACATGAAGTTATCAGATTGTATACAATCTGAGTTTCCTTCAAAGCTTAGCTTGAGTGCCACTTCTAATTCAAGATGCTAGTGTCCATCCCCCCCTCATATTACTTTATATTTATTTTGTATAAACTTATACATGAACAGATCATCCCTTAATATCATGTAAACTTTTTGAGAGAAGGAATTATGTCACTTTCTTCCTTCTGTCTGGCATCTTGTAGAGTATCTAACACATTGGATCATATATTTAGAGCTGTAAGGGACTTTAGAAGTAATTGAATGCAATTTTTGCAAATGAAAACACTTACATTTTAGGTGCTTTGCCAAGGATCACACAGCCAGTAAGTGTCTGAAGCAAACCCAGGTCTTCCTTACTCTGAGACCAGCCCTCAAACCACTAGACTGCCTGGCTGCCTCTCAAATAAGGGCTTAAGATTTCCCATGTTGGTACCTCCCCCCCACCAAGTGCTCAATCCCCTCCTGCTACCCCCTGGCTGCTGAGGAGGCATCTTAGAAGGTCTGAATTAGACCTACTTAGCTTTCCCTCCCCCCATCAAAATGTACCTGTCCGAATCCCACTCCCAGTTTATCTGACTCTGGGCCAATGGTTTAATCTAGTGTCTGGAAACAAAGCCTTAACTCAGCATTTTCTGAAGTATATTCTGTAGAATATTGATTGTGTTCTGAGGAGAAAATGAATAGGGGAATAGAAAATTGTTAAGCATTTAGAGAGATTTCTTTCCTCTTAAAATATTAAAAAAATTTTAAATATATTAAAAATATTAAATGTGAAATTATGAATTCATGAAAAAAAATTACTATACCATTTGAATGTAGGCTATCACATTGAATACCACACCTCTAAAACGAGAGCTCTTTAAAAGTAATATATATGTGTGTATATACATACATATATAAAATAATGAATGCATTTATTTGTATACATGTGTGCATACATGCACACACACACACACACACTGAAGAAATAAAACCAATTCTAGGCCATGTTCCAATTTTATCCACATAAGATTTGTAGGTTGCACATATAGAAGGAAAGCATAATATATGTTCA